CCCCAAAACCCCAAAACCCCAAAACCCCATGAGAGTAAAATAGTCAATATAGGAATGAATATAATTTTATAATACTCATTCAATATGTTCTGTAAAAGTATCTTGAAAAACAGAGCCTTCACCTCTTCAGCTAACAGATTCTTAGTCTAGGGGGCAAATAGATAATTCGGAGCAATGGATCTGATTAACTATGATTTGTTTGATCATAAATTCACAAATGATATGGAGTTCAGAAGCTCCTTCGACAAACTGAAGTGCTTTAGAGTCTTAGATGAAGAGGGTAATGTTATCAACAAAGACTATGAAGGATCTATTGATGATTAAACTCTTCAAAAGATGTTCAAGACTATGGTTATGATGAACGAAGCGGATGTTGTGTTCAATCAAGCTCAAAGACAAAGCAGAATTTCCTTCTATATGACATAATTAGGAGAAGAGGCAGCAGGAGTTGGATCAGCTGCTGGAATTAAGGATCATGATTTGATTTTCCCACAATATCGTGAAGCAGGAGCATTCTTATGGAGAGGTTTCTCTATCTAATAAATGGCTCATCAATTGACTGGAAATGTTCACGACTTCGGGAAAGGCAGACAAATGCCAGTTCATTATGGTTCAAATAAGCATAATATTGTTACTGTATCATCTCCTCTGTGTACTTAAGTCCCATAAGCTTCAGGGGCAGGTTACTAATTCAGAATTTCAGGTCAAGATAGAATTGCAGTCACCTACTTCGGAGAAGGAGCAGCATCAGAAGGAGATTTCCATTCAGCTTTAAACTTTGCAGCAACACTCAGAGCCCAGACTATGTTTTTCTGTAGAAATAACATGTATGCCATTTCAACTCCAATTGATGACTAATATGCTGGAGATGGAATCGCTGTAAGAGGTATTGCTTATGGCATGCCAACTATTAGAGTTGATGGAAATGATATCTTTGCCATCTACAATGCTTGCAAGAAAGGGAGAGAGATGATTATTAAAGAAAAGAGACCAGTTCTAATTGAAGCAATTTCTTATAGAGTAGGTGATCACTCCACCAGTGACTTTTCATAAAGATACAGAGATGAAAAGGAAATGCTAAAATGGAAAGAACTTTTGAGCAAATTCAAAAGTCCAATCCATAGATTAGAAAACTATCTTCTCAAGAGAGGACTAGTCAAGCCAGAGGATTCAAAGTAATACAGACTAGAGGCCTTAAACCAAGTAAGAGATGCATTAAAGAATGCTAATGATTAAAAAAAGCCATCAATTGATGATATGTTCAACGATGTTTATGACACTGTCATGCCTCACTTAGAAGACCAGAGAAAGCAGTTAAAGGAGCATCTTAAAAAGTACGGAGAAAAATACAACTTAGACACCTTCTAGGGTGGCAATGCCTTTGCCAATAGCTGAATTAAACTAAAAGACAATCGATCCTGAATATCAAATCATTCGTGTCGCAGCAATTGCTTCAATTTTTGCGAATCATATTTAAATCTTATATTTCATTATCCTCCTTGTCATATATTAATATAAGATACTTACTATCTCAAAATGAATACTACGGGGTTTTGGGGTTTTGGGGTTTTGGGG